GTTTTTGTTAGCCGTTTGAGAGTGTCTGTTTTTATAAAGCGTGGAACGTATTAAACGAACCCCAGCAACCTTTTCGTAGTACATTCGCATCGATGGAGTCTGTTACCGTTACAACTACATGAATATGTAAATGTAAACCGCTGCCTATATACTGATGAGAGAAAAGTTTTGAAGCTTCGTTTCATTCTTTTATAGACACTAGAGCATTTATCGTAGATAAGTTGGATCTGCTCTCAAACGCAATGAGCCACAATTCTGTAACTTTTCATTAACAAATATATTTCAAACTAAATTTTATATGATCATTCAATCTTTATCTTGAATTCTGCTTGATGCGTTACTTTAGAAGCATATAGAGGATGAATCTTATTCTGTGATTACTAGCAGCAACATAGGATCCATGGCTGTTGTGCTAGTATCTTGAGTAACTTCTCGTTCTTTTTGTCTTCCTCACAATTTGCAGGTTTACCCAACAAGCAATGTTCGCTGTTTTGCTTCTCATTGGTGTTAGGATCATCTATGCCCCCTAGCTCCCTTATTTGATTTCTATATTGCTGTGCTTATTCTTTATTCTAAGGTGAATGCTTTTGGTAATCCTTGAGTTGTTTGCAAGTTAATCGTGTTCTCTCTTAATAGGAAATTTCTTTACCAAACTGTTGAATGAGCTGAGCTTGATGTGAAGTCTGAATTCAAGAAAATTGAGACTGCAGAAACAGCGAGAGGTTGAAAACTGATATTCTGTCTAATTTGCAACTCTTGTGTTAGTTGATTTTTCGCAATATAGATTGGTCATGCGGCTTGTTTAAAATGAATGAAGTTAAGAATTTTGCTCAGTCAAGATGACTCAGATAATCTGCTTGAATTTTAGTCATCAACTTAATTTATTTTCGAATTCATTTTTACCATGCAGGCGCTGAGGTAGCATTTGCCAATCCGCCTTCCATGAGTGAAATGGACATGGGAGCCATGGGTGCATGGGCAGAAATCATGGCTGAAGAGCAGGTACGTCATTTGTTTTACAGCAGCATTGTGCAGTTATTAAATATAACATGAGTGAATGTTTGTACAGGTACAATCTGCGCCTCCAAGCGAGAAAAACGACGAGAACGAAACAAAACAAGAGCAAAGTACGGAAGAAACCGATAATGCGATGAGGAAACCGCAGCAGCCAGAACAGCAATATTTTGCAGTGCAGGTAGGTTTTAGAGCTAGATTTTAAAGGCATATCCTTTTCTTACATATTCTTCTTTCTAACTACTAAGCCTATGTTTAGGTAACAAACCTACCTGCATGTACGAACGAAGAGCTTTTCTATCATTTTGGCGGTGATAGTGTGGTAAGGCTAATCATAGTTTATTGTCGAATTCTGAGAAATGTCGCTGTATCTCTAGGTGCGTGACATCGCAATTTTGCCGGATCGCCGTTGTGCAGCGAGGATTGATTTGTACACAGTAGAAGGATTGAAACGTGCGAAAGAGCTTGATGGGCAACAGTTCAGGGGCAGGACCCTTAGAGTACGTTTAAGTGTTTCTTGCAGAGGAAGTTGACATAGATAGCGCAGTTGCTCATTGGTCGTACCTGTTTGGGTTGGGTTTCATCACATCTGCGTACGGAAAGATTATAATAGCTGTTTTAGGTATACGAGATTCGAGAAGAAAGAGTTCGTGAAAGACCATTACCTCATGAGTTTCAAAATCGTCAGTTTAGCAACGAGCCACCTCCATATAGTAGAGAAAGTAGCAGGTACGGGAATTACTTCACTTTCAATCATTTCCATATGCGTCCTTTTCGTTACAAAAGTTATCTATCTAAAGAATGTAGAGTTTTGTAGGAGGAACGATGTTATCTTTGTTTTATCTATTCCATCCGAGAGTGAAAGTTGAGACTTGAATTTTTAAGTTTTTTTTT